CAAAGTGATTTATATTTTATTCGTTAGTTGCAACCGAGATTCTATAAAATAAGAGGGAGAGAAAGGGAAAGAAAGCTTTGAGGATTGAGGAAGAGCTTAAAACTTTGAAAAGGAGTTGAAGTACAACATTACTTCTGCTGTTGTCGACCACTGTCAATCATCGTCGACCACCACTAGGAGACTGTCATCGATAGCTATAAGTCGTTGCTCATTCATTGCAACAAGTTCATTCGCTCATCGATATTGTAATTCAAAAAAGTTTATAACATTTTTTCGTCCGTGGAACAAGAAATTTATATACTTCAATTTATAATTTAATTTTACAACTGGGTCAGATCCTTTGATTTTTTTCTTCACAGTTTTTTCACATAAAAACTTTTAGTGTCTCTAGTGGTTATTTTTCTTTTACCTAAATGTGTATTGATTCTCATGCAACATCAAAACGACAATCCATTACTTTACCAACTCGATCTTCTAGCAAGCATCAATAGTAATAATTGAAGCGCTAACATTTTTTTCTTTTTTGCCCAAATATTTGTGCATTTAATAATAATAGATGGGTTGAGTTAGAAGCAAGAACATTCTCTCTTTTCTCCCACACCACATCAACTTTAGCCTCCAAAAGAAGCATAAATTAAGTGGGAAGCACCTTTATCTTGTCATATCTCCCCTTCTTCACTTTATCCCCAGTCTCAATAACAATGGTTGAGTTAGTGGCAAAAATATTCCACAACTTTATTCTCCTTCCTTTTCTTATACACAAAACACTAAATAAATTTATCTTCATTAACAACCATCAGATGCCAACTTTAGCTCATTAGACGATGGGACTAGCAACAAGTTTTACTTGCTAAATGACTATGCTGATTTACAGAATTTAATTTTAAATCATTCAGGATTCCAATAAATATTGCTTTTTTACTGTGTGGCGGCACTCAGCCATGGCGGCGCTCGTGAAACCGCTATTCTGCGCGACGGCTCAGGCCGACGCTACAAGAAACCGCACCAGCGGCAACAGCGGAGGTTCGAATGAGCTTTCTTCGCCCCAGCGCTCGAAGAAGAAGAAGCTCGACGCAACGAGCTTATCGAGTCCTTCAAATCCTTTCGTGAAGCACTGCGTCAAGCTCCGCCTTAGCTCTTCTTATCGCCGCTCTTGCGGTTCTGCTCTAGTCGTCGGCCTCACTCCCATAATGTAAGCCTTCAATTCTCTGTAAACCCTACGGGCGGATCGATAGATAATCGGCCCTCTTGTTTTGTTCATTCTTCTCAAATAATAATAGGAATACTTGTGTGGTTGTGTTGGTTGTTCGTTGCCAGAGTATTATATTAGTCGGCACTGACAATTATTTATTGTTCACATCTTACAATGATTATTTTTGTTATCTTACACTGAAAATTGTTTGTTGTTCATCCATTACATTTGTCACGCTAACTTCCTCGTTTCTGCACATCAATCAATTTGCACTGTAAACTTGTTGTTTTATTTATAAATCTTGACAAATCATACACTTGTTTTTGGGGCTGTTTCGCAACAAGTAAGATTTAAGTCAGGTAGTATTTGTTAAATTTGCAAATATAGATTTAATAAATCCCAAGGGTGTTTAGTGTTCAAAATGGCCAACCTTTTAACTTTTTATTTTAGGAATTAGAATTTACATGTGTGATTTATATGTCAGGAGCTCAAAGGGAAGGCAAATGATTGCAGCAGCTGCATAATAATTTACATTATCTATGATGGTTGGGGAAGATTTTTTATTTGAGATAATTGATGACCTTCTTAGTGTTGGATTGGGGCATAGTATCTGTTGGTTCACTCCGGTGTTACTATGTACTAGAGGAGACATAACCCCTCAACTATTAATATCCCAAGCTGGAGATTTGGGCAACCTCCCTGCATGTTTACCAAGGTCAAACGTCAACCAAGAAACTGCTATCTAGATATTTGCTTAACAACAATTGGAGATTTGGCATTTGGCTTGCAGGTTTGTTGGATGGTACACTAATAGTATTAATATTCGAGTAAAATGCTAAATTAGTTCATTGACTGTTTACATGAGATTGTTTTAGTCCCACAGTCTATAAAAATGCCAAATTAGTCCTCATACTCTTTAAATTGGGCTGAAATAGTCCTTCATGGGGACTATTGGACTATTTCAGACCATATTAGAAAAAAATAAATTGACACCTTTATAAATTTTGCTACTAAAATGACTCAATGTAAAAAGTTAAGGGATTATTTTAACACTTTTCCCCTTAATATTCTCATGGTGGGTGATCACTATAACGGGATACGGGAGCCACATGCTTGTAAGTCGTTTGTTGGCATGTCCCACCACAATATCTTATAGGTGCCTTCCCACTATTGCAATCATATGATTAAAGACCAAAGAAGCTTCTGTAGAGGAACACTTGGTGAGTGTTGATTGGAATAGTCATACTCATGCGGAAGTGGTCGAGGCAAGGACGAAGATGATAACTACGGTGGCACCAGGATGTGTACTTGAATGAGTATTATTTTGTGGCCTTTGGTGTAGTTTAAGAATTAGGTCAAAGGTTGTATGAAGTGTGTAGGAGCGGGGGGAAGTGGTGTTAGACATGTAAGGCGGTGAAAATAGAGAATTGCCTTATTTTGCTTTACAGGGCTGAAGGCCAAGAACACTCCCAAAGTGTTTTTGGCTGGCAAGATGGAGTCAAATTTCTTTGGGAGGGCCACTTGGGATTTTGGGGAATGTGTGGAGATATGAGGGTGTAGTGATGGTGTTTGGAAGGTGGCGGGGTAGACAAAATTGAGAGCTTCAAGGGTTTGGAGGCAGTGAGGTCAAAGCAACCCCAAGAGAGGGATTGTCATGTTTAGGATGAGATGAATGTGAAGGAAGATGAATGGTGTTTGAGGACGTTGATAGATATGATTGAGAGTTAATTACAACAAGGAAATTAACATAAAAGATGACGAGTAAACTCTCGCCAAAGAACTAATGTTAGTTGAGATGCCATCAAATTTTTAGGGTGCGTTTAAGGCGGCTGTTGTTTTATGAAGAAGCACTGTGGAAGGAGCTTCACATCTGCTTTCAGAAAGTTGTTACTAGAGTAGCAGTTAGTCTGTTTGGATAATCTACTTTGCTGTGGTTGCTTATGATAAAAAGGACAGTTATCCTTTATAGATATAAATTAATTGAATGATTGTAGCTTTCAAAATAATACAACTTCAACAATACAGAAAACAAGTATGGAGTCTAATTTTCTCAATACACCAATTTTAAGACAACATTTTACACATAATTTCATAATAATAAAAATTATTAAAACAATAAGTAATGCTATAATGACATTCACCTTCATATCTAAACAATCAAACCTTCTCTATCTGGATAATATTTTATCCATGGCATCTCTCTGACTTGATCACTATCTGGAGTGATATTCTCTATATCATCAATCAATTGAAAAAACATACAATTTTCACGTGTCTTATTTCTGGGACAATAATAAAATCTCATCCTATAACTGTCTTCTCTTCTTGATGTGTATTCAAAATACTACATGTCATAATCACAATATAAAATTCTTGGAACACTTGATGACCTTGAACTCATTTTTCGTGATATTGTAATACATTATGCTTTTAATCAAAGAATTAAACTACATATGTAATAGAACAACAATAAAATATTAGGGTGCAAGTTAAGAAAAAAAAACATATATAAGGAAAAAATATGCAACTTTAAAGTTATAACACCAAAATTAAAATCTCAAAATGTAGAAGAGAACAATAACATCAATAAATTCTCAATATATCTCAAATAGTAGACATCAATTAGAATATACTACAAAATATTGGTTACATATACTCAATGAATTCACTATCTGTAATTTCTCCTCTCAACTGAATCATTTCCCGAACATCCTCTTCATCGGCTATGTTAAAGTCATTTACACCAAAGTCTTCCTCAAACAATGATTGTCCTGCCTGATGTTTGAATGCTTCTACAGGCATGCATGTTGAAGATTCATCTAAGGCCCTAAAATCAACATCTTATCGGGATAGATGTCTCCACATAAAATTATGTAGCTGCTATTGCATCAATTATATCTAAGAAATATATTAACATATCTCGGAGTATGACCCACTTCTTTTTTTCAAATGTCGAATGCTCTCTCTATAACACTTCGTAATGATGATTGTATTTTCTTGAACAATTCATTTCTCTCTCTAATCACTCGGTTGTTGCGCCCAAAATTAGGAAGGTGATACATCTTATCGGAGACGAACTTTAAGAAACCTCTTACATGGGATATCTCGAATCAACGGGATAATATTTCCATGAATAATAATATTATTTGTACATCATTTCAAATTTAACTCATCATATACGATAATGAGTGTACTAACCGGGCGGAGACATTGAAAAATTTGTATTAACATCATCGAGTTGCAAATTTGAATATGCGACTATCACGAGCACTTCTTTCTCATCCAACCATTAAGAAGGCAAAATGTATGTTGAAGTGACAAGCTTCTAGGATATTTTGTGTTGCAGATTGAGAACGTTTGATATATGCAATCTTATCATTATTTTCAACACGTGTGCCATCTATTGCTCTTATACAATCTTGTTTAAAATATTCATGACAATAATTTATTTTTGATAAACATGCATGTAAATTAAATTGATAATACAATCACTATCTCGTATGGTTACAAATTTCTCTCAGTGTATGCCCAAAAGTAGGATTAATTGGTTTGATAATATTGTTTGACATTCCCACCAAAGAGTTAACCTCAATATCGAAATATCTAATAATTGTCTTGATTAAATCTATAGTTGCTCAGAAGTAGCACGAAGGGACTCATTATGTGACATAATATATAAAGTGATGACTAGTACTTCCGTGGATGTAAATCAGGATGATCCGTCCGAACTATTTTGCAATTCATCCAGCAATTCACAAAAAAATTTTCCCGACATCCGAAACATACTATGAATTATGTCTAGATGACCTCAGAGCAGCTCATCAATCCATATTTCACCCATAGATGAGGATGACACACATAGTATCTTATACAAATATGTGTGATAGTACTCATTGATAAGATATTATGGTAGCCAAAATTATTGTTTGTTATACTGTATCTATAATTTTCTTTTTATTTGATAGATCCATCTGACTATTTTATGTACGTTAAAATATATATAAAAAATAACAATTTAACCTATAAGCGAACAACTATATAATTAAAGTAATGCGGCTTGAGCAAAATATGCATGATTGAATATCACATAAACATAACACAAGATATTATTAGAAATAAAATTTCAAATTATTACACATTATTCAAAAATAGAAATTAAGGACACATAAATTAACTTGATCGATTGCTTAAAAAATAGCAGAGTTAAGGAATAATTCATTCCGACACCATCTTAATCTAAGCTTCTCATTTTGTTCGATTCTCTAAAAGTTTTATAACGAATAAATATAACGACATATCATCAAATATCCCGGGGGTGGATTCTAGTAGCTTCATGACCTATACCATAATTGGGTACCCTTGAATAGCCGTGCGAGCACTGAACGTCATACTGGTGCAGGTTGTGATGAGCTGTGAAATCTGCTCAGATAAATATTAAGCTCTGACCTTCATTTTTTTTTATGCTTTTGGGTGGATGATGCATAACACTTGAAATGACTTGATTTACCTTGCTCTTTCTGCTATGTTGCTTCCTCATAGATTTCATTTGAATGAGGATATTCAACCTCATCCAAATTTTAGGGGACATCTTGGTTGTATCCCAGAAATTTGAGCCCGTAGTCACAACACTGAGAAAATTAGCTTTTTATTTTTTGTTTTTTCTTTTTATTTTTTTTTTGCATATTTTTATTTTTTGTTTTAAAAATTAAATTAGCTTTTGTTTAAAAAAATATTCAAAACATTTAAATTTTATTTTGTGTGTTTCTAAAAATAACTAAACATGTTATAACATGCCGAACATATTTTATTTAAGTAAAAACATATATAAAAAAAAAAGGAAGACAAAAAGTCAAAAGTGATCCCAAACGGCCCCTAAACTTCTCCTTTGTCAAATATGCTTTATCTGCCACTTTATTGCGTTTAGTAACTTTAAAAGAACATCAAAGATTTTTCATCAGGTTGCCAGCTCAATCAATTCAGTTGTATTGATTTACCACTTATTGTTTAAAGCACTATGAGAATGCAGTGCAAAGTGTAAACATTCTGAAGTTTTTTCTTAAAAAAATTGTTTTCTTTTATCACATGCACTCTCACTGCATATTAATTTTAAATTCCATAACTGTGCCTGCAATTTTGAATACCTGATCCTTGCCTAGTGCATAATTGAAATAGCTTAGAGCAGCAAATATTAGAAGTTTTATTTTTAGTTGCCTCCATAATGCTCAATATTCAACACAGGTTCCAAGTCACTGAATCTTCTTCATCAACTATTTTGTTGTTTGACATCCCATATCTGAAGGTTATCCTAGAATAATAGAAAAAGTTGAGGAAAGTTCAGCATAGATTTTATCTCAGATATTGCTTTAATTGTTGTAAATCAATTATATTTTGGAGCATTTTCATACATACCGCCCAATTATTATTGATTTACATATCTAACACCTAATCTTTTATTTTTACATTTATACTATCATTATTATCTTTTAAAAAGTGAAATACACTTTTTCATGCACAGGAAAGGTGGCATATATTTAAAAATTAAAGTTTAGATGTTACATATGTAAATACATAGGAATTAAGTAGCATTTATGTAAATCTTTCTTATATTTTTGGGTTGAGAGGTTTCATGACTTGCAGTGCCTGAATCAATTGCAAATTCAGTTCTTTCAGCTTATAGAATGAGTTTTTCTGCATCTCAAATATTTTGCTCTCATCATGCATATTTTTATGAAAGACAATGTAATTATTTGTTGATTTATATGTGCAGGGAAGTTTGCAGGTTCCGGGAATTAAATAATGAAGAACTCTCTAGCATTGAGTGCTTGCTTCTTTTAGATGGCTTTGAGAGCCCAGAATTGTTCAATCTCCCCTCTACTTCAATAGTGCATGTGAGCTCTCATGTGATGAAGAAACTCTCTGGTGTTCAATCAGTTGATTCTACTGAAGCAGTAGCCATAATGAAGATCCCTAGAAGCTTCTATGATATGACTGGAGAATACAAGAAAGAAATATATCCAAATTGGTTCCCTTTGCCTAACAGGATGTTGGTTCTTGATGGTATCCAGGTACAATGAGTATTTAGTTATCTCCTACCAAAACATTCATATTTACATATATAGCACTTTGGTGCTTTAAACTTTTGCATGAAAAGTTGTATTTCACTTTTAAAAGTGATAATAGTGCTATTGTTGATGCGATATTAGGAATTCGAGTGCTATGTGTGTAAATATGAAAGTTTAGGTGTGGGATGTAAATACATAAAAATTGATTGCTATGTATGTAAATGCCCCTCTTTTATTATGTGCAAGAAATCATTTTATAGCAATGTTAATCTGCCAAGCAGTAGTTTTGTATCAGATATATTGAAATTGATGTTTGCCCTTATATACCATTTTTATAAAATTTTATAAAATCAGTGTTTGCTTTCTCTGTGATACAAGTTTACTTTTTTTTAAAAATCCTATAAAATCTTCCTATAAACTTGATCATCGGAGAAACATAGTTGAAATTCATCTTTACCACTGCTCATTTAAAAAAAAATTAGAGTAATTTAACTTTCTTCGTTCTGTTGGCAAAAGAATACCAAATTCTTTTGCTGATTTGAACACCCTTACTGATCATCTTCATCTATAGCTAAGCTTCTAAAATACACAATGAGAATGACAATACATTTTTGAACAATTATGATTTTTTATACTGCTATGAATAAACCATGAATTTATAAGAAAGCATTTGTTGCATTAAATTGTTTGTTGATAGTTTGCTTCCCAACAAGATTTGCATG